CCCCAAAACCCCAAAACCCCAAGAGGAGAGATATCCAAAAGATCGATGAATATTTAAATAAATGGATATTTGTGAGTGATTGGAAGCTTAACTAACTAATTAATTGAATATTCATCCAAGCTGTTAATTTAAAGGGCTTTATAAACTCAATTTATTATTCTATAATTTAAATCATCACCGCATTAACTCAAACTTAATTCATCTCAATTCATGTAAGTACCCTCTCCTTAAATCTTAATTACGCCATGAACTCTAATGGTTAATGAATAAGGATAATTAGATTGAACTCATAAACTTATTTTAGGATTAAACTGAGCAACTAGAAAAATACTCATATTTCTACATCAAATACTTCTCCAAGCATTGCAAGTAACGATATCTATCATCAGGGTCAAGTCTCAAATACTTAATCATCAATTAAAGATGTCTGGATTCACAACTTCTTCGACGAGCTTGCTGTTCTAGCTAACTATATCGATTAAGATTACAATGTTATTGCATTTGTAAGATTAAAACTCAATTTTTATCATTTAGGATACCGAGTTCCCTGGAATTCTTGTTGATAAGAACACGCATTTTAAGGGTAAAAGCATGAGTAAACCTTTCTATCAGTGGATAAAAGAGAATGTAGACTCCTCTAAAGTTATCCAACTTGGAATATCCATTTCTGATGAGGATGGTGATCAACCGACACCTGTCTCAACATGGCAATTCAACTTTTAATTTGACAAAAAGTAAGTAAGCTAATATAATAAACTCTCATTAATATAGTCTTGATATTTACAATCAAGATTCGATCAAGATGCTTGAGGATGCTGGATTGAACTTCGTAGAGCACGAAAGTAATGGAATTCCTCATATAACATTTGCTGAGTACGCCATTTGCTCTGGACTTCTGCTAAATAATTCTTTGAAATGGGTGGCCTTCAATTCTGCCTTTGATTTCGGTTACTTACTAAAGATGTTTACTTCAACTCCTCTTCCTGGCACAGAACAAGACTTTCTTAAGTCGGTTTAGACATATTTCCCTATATTTTACGATGTCAAGCATTTAAGAAGCGATGCCAAAGATCTCAACTCTTAGTTAAGGAATGAGTGTATATACAGAGAGGGTGCAGCTCATCAAGCTGGTAGTGACAGTTTAGTTACTCTTCAGCTCTATCACAAGTCGATGAAAGACCCCGTTTATAAGTAGCTTAACTTGCCTGTTAATGGTAAAAACGTCATCTACAAGATTGGTGATTACTATCGCAGGCAAGAAAAAGAAAGAAAAGAGTATTATAGCAAGTACAACAAGGAGTCATCAAGAAAGAGCGAGGTAATTTCTACCAAGAAGCTTATGGATGATTAATACCAGTAAACTCTTGTTCAAATTCAAAATTTGATCATTACAGATTAGATGAATAGCCAAGAAGAAGACCCCTTTTTTAGCAATGAAAAAGATGAAATCCAATTTGCTAAGGGAATTAGGATGGATATTTCTGCACCTGAGTATCAAAGTAAAATTCAAGCTAATTATGAAGAATCACCAGTGAGTTCAGTCCAAAATAGCCAGTTCATGAATAATGCTCAAATGAACAATTGCTAAAACCAATTCTTCTAACAATAGTTCAACCATCATTAACAGATGTCAATTCCATCACCATAGAGCTATTACTACAACCTAAATCTGAAGCATAGTATGAGTGCACCTGTTTAATACTAAGCCCATTTAAATCAGATGTATCAATATCAATAATCTAACTTTATGATGACTCAGCAAGGACAGTAATATATGAATTAACAGCAAAGATATATTCAATTTCACTAACAGCAGCAGTAATAATACATGGGATGGAATTAGGCAAACAGACATATAAACTCTGCTCCTTAAAATTAAATGCAGATGGTAAACATTTAGAGATAGTAACCAAACCAATACTACTAGCAGAGTCCTGTCAACACTCCACAGCCTTAAGTCTAGGTAAACCATTAAATACAATTATCTCCTCATGCCCCAATGCTTTATGCAGCAATAATGCAGAACCATCAGCATCTAGACATTATTAATAATGGCTTAAGCCATAACAATTTCAATACAACAGCCAAGCCCTTTAATCCAACTAACCTCGGTACTACTTAACTAAAAAACTAAAATTGAAAATTAAAACCATCCAAAATGGAAGAACTAAGCCCTTCTCAAAGAAGTCACTAATAATGAATGAAACTTGATTATATATTCTTTTAGAATATGTGTTATTCTTGGACTTAATAATTTCTTAAGATTTTCTATCTTTCAATTTTTGTTTATTCTTACTTGTGGGGTTTTGGGGTTTTGGGGTTTTGGGG